AAAAAATAAAAAAAAAAAAACAAAAAAAAAAAAAAAAAAAAAAAAAAATAAATAATAAAAAAAAAAAAAAAAAAAAAAAAAAAAAAAAAAAAAAAAAAAAAAAAAATTAGTGGATATGTTCTAATGAGAGCCGTATGCCACTTGAATTCGATCCCTAGATACAGGGATATGAGACAAATGTAATTCAGTTGGTTAGGTTATTATACACGAACTTTGAAATACATGACATTTTTCGTAAAACGGAAATTTCGTCAAAATAAATTTTATCGACGGTAAATTGATCGACGGAAGTTTGATCGAACGCATATTTGATCGACCGGAAGTTTGGTCGAACTGAAATTTGATCGACTGGAAGTTTGGTCGAACGGAAATTTGATCGACCGGAAGGCTTGTCGAACGGAAATTTGATCGACAGGAAGTTTGACCGAACGGAAATTTGATTTAACGGAAGTTTGACCGGACGGAAATTTGATCGAACGCAAGTTTGACCGAACGGAAATTCAATCGAACGAAAGTTTGGTCGATCGGAAATTTGATCGAACGGAACTTTGATCGAACGAAAATTTGGTCGAACTGAACTTAAATCGAACGGAACTTTGGTCCGATTATTTTTTAAATCTAAGAAGTGCCAGGGAGAAATGTGGATAGTGTAATTTGTTCCAATGTTAGTTTGTTCGAGCTAAATTTTGTTGGATTCTTCTTTTTATTTTTCTTGTAAANTGTCCTAATCCTATTAATACTATTATGACTTTGTGTTTAAAAATCTTTTTAAAAAAGTAAATGAAAGCTAAACAAAATGAATACAAATTCACAACTTTCACGTGAAGTGAGCGGTAGTGGAGGAGCATAAAAAAACAACAACAACAAAAAACGCTGGAAAGATATTTCAAGATTATTGTTCTGTTGCCCTGTGTTTTTAAAAACAATTCCGAAATTTTATTTTATCTTATAATATGGCTGCGCCCGTGAATTTCCACGGATACAACTTGAGAGCCAGAGTAATTTTTAGGTTATTTCAGTTCTCTAAGAAGGTATTTTTGATTTTCTTATATTTGCATCATATGAAATTTTGGTAAATTGTGTACTTTAACATTAATTATTTTTTTCTTTGATGAGGCATACCTCGAAAATGTGTCATATTGAGGTTATTTGTCCAAAAAATAGGTAACTAGGACAGTAGGACTAGACTAGTCCTAGGTTAATTTAATGCCATGGTCATGGGGTTAATCGTACTACTAAAGTACTTTAGGCCCATAGCTATACATAACTAGAAATACTAACAAATATCAGTTTTGTTAACTGTAATCCCCCTGTAATCAGCACTACTCATTTCCCCATTGCTTTTGCCTTTCAAGGCCTTTGCCTTTGCACTACCTTTTTTTTTTCAAGTGCACAAGATACACGTCCGGCGACTTGTCACGTGACCGCCGGACATGGCCGGACGGCTAGTAGTTTTTATAATTCCAAACGAAGTATGATTTAGTACATCTTGTCTGGTCTTGTGGTAGAGTGGTTGCTTGACGATAGGAATGTTTGAGGATCTATACCGGGGATAGGGTCGTTTTTTTTCTTCCCATTTTAATTAAAATATTTTGTATATATTTATATTATCATGTTCCTCAGCAACAGTAGTTTCATGAGAAGTTTTTAAATATTTTGTAGCAATTGAAATAATTTAAAATGAAATCTTTAACTTTTATTGGTTGCCACACTGGCCCCTAATTTATTTTATGGATTACTGGTACACAAAAAATAACAAACTAAACAAAAATGTTTACAAGCCACTTTCACTTAAGTTTCTTTTTCTAGTATTTGCATTCAAGATACTCAGTACATTACTTGGTAGAGAAATAGATTTTAAAATTAACAATAGTTTTGAATTATTCGCAGTCACGTGACAAGGCTGACCGACAAGATATCTCTCGCCACTTTGTTACGGCGGTCATGTGACTTGGTCGCCGGACACATAGTGCGGGAGATAGACGTCCGGCGCGCCGGACGTGTAGACACTGCCTTTTTTTTTTTATATCAGAAAATAAGATAGACATGATAGACCAACGCCAACATGCAAACATATCTCATATTAGTAGATGTTGTAGATAAGAATTAATATTAAGTTTTATTTTTTACCTAAACTTCAATAGCTTTTTTTTGTGTAGACTATTGCTTGAAATTTAAAGAAGAAAAAAATTACAAACCAAATTTTTTTTTTTAAGGCGAAAATAAATGAAAATTCTATGGAAAATGAAGAATTCACTATTGTAAAATACAAAAATACAGATACAAAATACCAAAAACACTTTTTAATAAGTGTTAAGAATATTATTTTGTTACTTTTAAAATGCTTAAAGTAAAAGAAATTCCAATGTCATGTAAATGTAATGCTTTTGCATGTTAATTGATGTACATAGCATATGTAATAGGAGAAAATATGATTAAAAGTTAATAGGCAACACATTGCTATGACTTATTCTAAATGCTGCAATGATTTTGAGGTTCAAAGTTAAACTTTTTTGGCTCACTTCTATGGGTAATGGTTTAAGCCTTGAATGTCTTTTTATATTTTAAGATAATAAAATGCTTTTCATGTAAGGTAGGTACCCCAATACTGGATTACGGCACTGTAAGGGATTGATGGTATGTAGATGTTATGTAATTTATGTACAATCTTAAAACATACTTATGTCTAACACATGTATTTGTTACTAATTTAATTATTCATCTTTGCGTATTGCCCCAGAATTTTAATCTAAGTCTACACCGGTGCAGTCACAAGCGAGCAGTTGCCTCAACTATGAAGCTCTATGACCGAGACATGTACTGGAATGACAAGTGTTTGCCCGATGAAGCGGTATGCAGAACCCATTTAAATTCTTTTTGCTAAATAAGGATCTGCCATAAAAAATAGTCTTAAAGACAAGCTAAAAAAATGTCAATTTAAAATTCGCTGAACCATAAAATTGTATCTTTCCTTGAACAAGTTTTTTGTCTTTTTTGGGTACTTGTCGCGTGAAGGAAAAAAAAAAATTATGTTTAACCGTTTACAAGCCTTCCATATATCACAGTTTAGGAGAGCGCTGCTTAACTCTTTCTCTCCGTATCAACGCTTCCATCGTCTATTTGAAATTAAGATTTTGGCGTATCGATTGTCAATGTATAAAAACCTGTTTCTATCCTAAGCAATTGGTTTTTAATCATTTTAAATCAATTCTAGAATGATTTCCATTGGAAAACATTCGGTTTTTCTTTATTTGAACAAGTTTTTACATAGAACGAAGTGTTTGAAGCTGTTTTGATTTTCCATTTTATTTTTGTTTTCAAACATAAAATCTTGACCTGACCCATCTGGTAATTGATCTAATAAAGGTTGAAAATATTACTCTGCTGATGATTTTATGATTTCAGATGCAAAGGCTGATTCTGATGAATCATATAATTATAATCCTAGTAATAGTATTAATAGTTCTAGTGACGAAATAATGAAACTGGTAATTCATCAGGTGATGTACAACCAGCCCCACCCCCAGCTAAAGTGCACATCCATATGGATTGTTTTTTAGGCTTACCATAGCTAAAACCAGATGAAAAGGTATAACATATTTATGGTAAATTTTCCATTTACCATAATCAATGTTAGTACATACAAGGATACAGTGCAAAAATTTTCTAATAGCAACAGATTGTTTCCAGTGGAAATAGTTTTTTTTTTAAAATTCAGAAATTTTTGTGTGGCGGTGACAATGGATAATGCTCCGTTTTTTTTATTTTTTATTTTTTTTAAGTTGATCTTTATTATTAGTGATGCACATACGAATATAGTTCAGAAAAAAACATTTTTTTTACACTTTGGATTATATATTTCTCTTTGTGTGGCGTGGAATGAGCGTTTTGTGAACAATGGTGAATTTTCTATTTAAAATGTTTATTTTCCTTAAATCATAATCACATTTCTATGTTAAAATTTAAATCCAAGTCTGGTTTGCTTGTAAAGGGCATACATTACCATTTAATTCCATACCAAACTTACCATTTTCTGATGAAAAACAAAAAAGTTATGATGGTTTAGAGATAGCATAGTAGTGCCTAACTAATATGCAAAAATAGATAATTCGTCAGAACACAGAAATTATTTCTGGAGAGAAAGAGTTAAGTCAATTTAACACATACTTTTTTTATTTAAGAAATTGAAACCCTAGCTATTATTCATTGCTTTGTGCCTTCAAAACAACAGAAATCACCATTCACAAAGTTGTCCATATTCAATACAACAAACCGTCATTCACAAAGTTGTCCCCATTCAAAACAAACAAACCACATGAAACTGTTCAAACATCACTAGTGATAAACTTAATTTAAGCTGGAACATCTTAATGAATGTTTGTTGGCTTTTAATGAACTATACAGAATATATTCTAACAAACCAGCATTACTTTATATTTATTTTGTAGACTATTTATATTTGTTATTTTTACAGAAATTTGAAAAAGTCTTGATTGCAAATCGTGGAGAGATTGCATGTCGTATAATGAACACTTGTAAACGTCTGGGAATTAAAACTGTGGCGGTACATAGTGAAGCAGATTCATTAGCTGTAAGTACAGTTCTTTATATTATAATACAAAATCAGGCAAAACTGCAGTGGATATCTACTAATAGAATATTGTGGTTAAAGCTCTTTTTTTCAAATCAGAAATATGAAAGTTATGGAGGTATATTACATCATAATCTCTGTTTACTGTTTATAAATATTGTAATCCACTAGATGTTTTTGAGTTCTTAAAGAAGTGACTATTCTAGCCTAAAAGGTCAGTGTTGTTTGACCTATCAAAATATCAAATCACCAATAGGTCCATACTCGGATGGCAGATGAAGCCATCTGTATTGGACCGGCTCCAACTAGTGAAAGTTACCTGAGGATGGACAAAATCTTGAGAGTCGTGCAGGAAACAGGAGCTCAGGCTGTGAGTGCTTTCTAAAATTTGTAAAAACCTTTTCTGCGTTCCAAGTTTCTTCCATAACAAGATTTGTGTTTATTTAAGCATGCGACCTGGGGGGTAGTAGATATTTTAGTGTTCATAACAATGGGGATTGACAATGGAAGCATCAAGGAAAGAAGATTTTACGCTTTAATAATAATTGTAACTAGCTTAATTGAATTACTATGAAATTTAACGTGGACAAATTTTGATGTTTTGCCAGGTACACCCTGGGTATGGTTTTTTATCAGAAAATACAGTTTTTGCAGCTCGATTAGTAAGTTATTTTCGTTGGATCTGTGTGTAAATATTGAATTGTTTTGTGTGTAAATATTTAATTCTTTTTTGTGTAAATATTTAATTCTTTTGTGTGTAAATACCAAATAGTTATGTTATTTATGGAGTTTTAAGTCTATTCAAGTTATTTATGATCAAGTTGACTTTTGAAGTTATTTTAGTTAGACAATCAGATGTGTCATAGTGAATGGGTTGACGGATGTGCCATTGTGTATGGTCAGGCAGTAAGATTGCCATTGTGTATGGGTACATGTATGAGCAAGCATCACCTTCTATTATTGAATGATCACCAATGTTTTTAAATGAATTATACGATATTCTTTAGTTCAGGTCCAATTCTGGAGTACTTTTGTTTTATTTTAGAAAGAGATTGGAGTTTCTTTTGTTGGACCCAACAGCGAGGCCATCCATGCCATGAAAGATAAGATTGAAAGCAAACGTATAGCAGCGAAGGCGGGGGTCAACATGATTCCTGGCTATGATGGGGCAATAAGAGACGCTGACCACTGTGTGGAACTGGCCAATTCTATTGGTACATGACTTTTTTTTTTTTAGATCCACTCTTTTAAAACAGCAATATTACCTATTTTGTCTTAGACAAATAAAATTCTGAGTGTACACCAATTTCTTAATTTTCCACTGAGACCAAAGATTCTCACACTTTGGGTAGTCAACAACAAGACCGTTTCTGGGGGGGTCTCAAGATTTTTTTGGAGATGAATTTTAAATCATGGGCAACAATATTACATTGAACTGTAAGGAAACATAGTTTAAGGGAGTGCACTGTTAAAGTTTTATCACAAGGGGGTCACAAGTCTACTAAAGTTTGAGAACGACTGCTTAGGGCTACCGACTGAATGTTTTAAGTTTGAGAAGCACTGCTGCATATCACTGTTGTGATTTGTATGAGCAATACAAAAATTTGGTTGCTACGAACGATCTCCTCTGTTGCAGGGTACCCTGTGATGATCAAGGCCTCTGCGGGTGGAGGTGGGAAGGGCATGAGAATAGCCCATAGTGATGAGGAAGCCAGGTCAGAAATGCAGATTTGTTTTCATGTCTATTAGTGTTATTGTTGTTGTGTTCAAACCCCATTTTTAACTTTTAACATTTAACTGTTTGAAATAAAGGCTTAATTTTTTAAAAAATTTAAATAATCTCTCCCCTGGGAGTCTATAAATATAAGTGGCAAAAGTTTGAGTATCGGTATGTAATAAAAACAAATATCAATAAATCATGTCTTCTTTCTTGTAGGTCAGCTTTTCGTTTGTCCCAACAGGAAGCTAAATCCAGCTTTGGAGATGACTGAATGCTGATTGAAAAATATATAGAACATCCTCGACATATTGAGATACAGGTGAGGTCGTTATAAAAATGAAAAACGGGTACTTTTATTGAGATACAGGTGAAGTTATAATAAAAATAAAAAACATGTCAAGTCATTACAAAATTAATATACAGGTAAAGTCATTTCAAAGTTTATATAGAGGTAAAGTCCTTTTATTGATATACAGGTTGTTATGTAGCACACATTCCCCGTGTGTGAACTTTGCTTGACCTAAATTAGATCCCTAGCAGATGGTAGCGTTTGTTGTGGGCGTGGTTTAAATTCTCTTTGATGTATCTTGTTTACAACCACTGCCAATTACACATTGGGTAGTATGTCTCCTGGTATCTTGTCGAATCTTCTCGATAACCCGAGAAATGTAAACAACACGTCATAATTCTTTTCTGGAAGCGTCTTACGCTACATGTATATAAGGGATTGACAGATACGGAGAGATGGAGATTCAGATAGATATTTTTACCTTCACGAGATGTTTATCATTCATTGTGTGCTATATGTGTTTATTCACATTGATCATTCATCATTATTCATTGGCACATTGCACTAATTGTGTACCGGTACAAGATCTACCATACTGTAAGTTGATAATTTGTCATGATATTTCTTTTGTTTTGTAATTACATTATTACTTAATAAATCTTATTGTAATTAGCAACTGTTTTGGGTGTCCTATCTTTAATATTGTTGACTCTATGGTATCCTCCTTTGTTAGGCACTGTTTACAACGAGCCAATTAAAATTAAAATAAGAGGTTAATTTCTCACAATAAAAGACAGTGCGTAACAAGGTAAAGTCATCAATATTGAGATACATGTAAAGTCATTATTATATTGATAAATAGGTAAAGTAATAATATTGAATATATTTATTGCATGTTTGTTACCTTGTGTTGTAGGTCTTGTGTGACAAACATGGTAATAGTCTGTGGCTCAATGAGAGAGAATGTTCCATTCAACGAAGAAACCAAAAAGTTATTGAGGAAGCCCCTAGGTACGTATAGACCCTGGGTTTAGCCTGGACTGCATCTTGTGTGACAAACATGGTAATAGTCTGTGGCTCAATGAGAGAGAATGTTCCATTCAACGAAGAAACCAAAAAGTTATTGAGGAAGCCCCTAGGTACGTATAGACCCTGGGTTTAGCCTGGACTGCCCCGTTTTGGGAAAGGCAAAGTTCAACTGGATGTCACATTGTCTTGTTGAGAGCAATGTCACATTGTTTTGTGATTTTAGAGCAATGCCACGTTTTGTAAATGAGTGAGAGATAATTGTAACATTGTTTTGTGATTAGTTGAGAGCAATATCAAATTTTTTTGTGATCGATTGAGTGTAATTGCAAATAATTCACTTTATCTATCATTCAATGGATGATCATGTGGGTAGCTTGCCAGTTATGTCATCATGAATTCACTTTATCTATCATCCAATGGATGATCATGTGGGTAGCTTGCCAGTTATGTCATCATGAATTCACTTTATCTATCGTCCAATGGATGATCATGTGGGTAGCTTGCCAGTTATGTCATCATGAATTCACTTTATCTATCATCCAATGGATGATCATGTGGGTAGCTTGCCAGTTATGTCATCATGAATTCACTTTATCTATCATCCAATGGATGATCATGTGGGTAGCTTGCCAGTTATGTCATCATGAATTCACTTTATCTATCATCCAATGGATGATCATGTGGGTAGCTTGCCAGTTATGTCATCATGAATTCACTTTATCTATCATCCAATGGATGATCATGTGGGTAGCTTGCCAGTTATTTCATCATGAATTCACTTTATCTATCATCCAATGGATGATCATGTGGGTAGCTTGCCAGTTATTTCATCATGAATTCACTTTATCTATCATCCAATGGATGATCATGTGGACAACATTTCTCAGAATAAATGTAAAAAATGAGATTGTTAACATTGCAGTAAAAAAAATAAAAACCAAAAACCATGGCGATATCTGTTTGTTTATAAGCACCTCTGGTTTTATTGGTCTGACATGTTGAGACTGGGTGGATGTTGTACGTTTCAAAAGTTGACATATTTAAACTGGGTGGATTTTGTACGTTTCAAAAGTTGACATATTTAAACTGGGTGGATGTTGTACGTTTCAAAAGTTGACATATTTAAACAGGGTGGATTTTGTATGTTCAAGTTCTGACCACTCTTGTGTTTCTAGTGTGTTTTTGGACTCTGCGACTCGTCAGGCAATGGGTGAACAGGCTTGCAGACTTGCTCACGCAGTGGGCTACGACTCGGCAGGTAGGGGCAACAACTATTAAAACTATCAGCAATGTGATTACAATTTTACAGCTGAACTTAAATTATAGTTAAAATTTTATAACATTTTTTTAAAATTAATTCCAGGCACTGTAGAGTTTCTAGTGGACAAGAATAAAAATTTCTACTTTCTTGAGATGAATACCAGGCTGCAGGTGGAGCACCCTATCACTGAGATGATCACAGGAGTTGACATTGTCCACCAAATGCTGAGAGTGGCTCATGGCCACCCGCTTTTACACAAACAATCTGACATTCCCGTGGACGGTTGGGCCATTGAATGTCGAGTCTATGCAGAGGTAATGTCCCCACAGTTGGAGATAGCTTGTCTTCTGTTACACTCATAGTTTTATAGTCCCTGGAGATCAGAATAACTTCTGTTATGCTCATATTTGTATAGTCCCTGAAGATCAGCTTGACTTCTGTTATGCTCATATTTGTACAGTCCCTGAAGTCTCTTGTGTAATTTTAAAAATTTGTCACTTTGATGTTCGCTCTCCGCAGTAACTCATTATTCTATATCCCCTTTGATTTTCTCGGCATCTAGGATCCCTATAAAAGTTTTGGAATGCCATCTATAGGAAGGCTGTCTCGTTATGTAGAGCCAACCCATCTGAGTAATGTAAGTGGCCATCATTTTGATCATAAGCCTACAATGATAGAAGATGCTTACCTTTGATTTTCATAGTTTTTTTTACATAGCTTCATCACAATGCTCTATAAGCTACCGTAACTTTTTATAAACTCAAAGCTGTTTTGCTTTGATCCCAGGATACATCTGGTCATGTTCCATCTGAAGCTAATTAAACATTACCAAAAAAGTTTTAGTTTTGTGAGGTTTGACAGATGCAGAAGTAAAGTTATATTTGTCATGAAGAGATGTTATTGTATTTTGACAGACTCGTTGTGACAGTGGCATCATGGAGGGAAGTGAAATCAGCATTTACTACGATCCTATGATCTGTAAACTTGTAACCTATGGAAGGGACAGGCAGTCCGCCATGGATACCATGATAACTGCCCTTGACTCTTATGTCATCAAAGGTGGGTCACTGTGATTGACAGAGGTGAAACATTTATATTTCCTTTGACAAAAACCAAAGTGCTAAATAATGTACTTTACCAAGGAACGTTAGACTTGTTTCTTTATAGAAGAATTGGGGAAGCAGCAGGGTGTATATGTGACAACAGACCCTGACATTAAGGATTGTTAGCTGTGCGACACACTACACACCCGGACATTCAGGATTGTTAACTCTGCGACACACTACACACCCAGACATTAAGTATTGACGAGATGACACATTACACACCCTGACATTAAAGATTGTTGACTGTGTGATACACTGCACACCCTGGAGTTAAGGATTTTTTACTGTGACACGCTACACACCTTGTGACATTAAGGATTGTTGACTAGATGACACACTACACAAGCAGCCATTAAGGATTTTTGACTGACACACTACACACCTTGACATTAAGGATTGTTGACTGTGTGACACACTACACACCTCGATTGTTGACTTGTTTCAGGTGTAACACACAACATACCATTATTGAGGGATATTCTCACTGAAGAAAGGTTTGTGAGGGGAGACATCAGCACCAACTTCCTGCCGGAGGTTTTCCCTGATGGCTTCAAAGGTTCGCTATGTTGGAGCTGCTGCCCTTTCTTGTTTTGTTATTATATTTAAAATAAAATTACAAAAGTATCACTTTAGATCATAAACTCAGCTCAGATATAAACTGTCCACTCAGTCCCAGGTGTCAATATATAATTTACTTGACTTGTCAGTTTAGTAAATAATCTCAGCTCACATATAACTTGTCCACCCAGTCACAGATGTAAATATATTTATACCTTCATCGACAGGTAAACAGCTAAATATAAGACAAAGCCAGGAGCTGACAGCATTAGCATGTGCAGTCTACCTCAAGGATCAGCAGAGGTCAAGGACATTCATCAACCAAAAGAGGTTAGAGTCAAGGGTCTTTCTTACGAGACATTCTATAAAACAAAGCAAAAAAACATTTGATAATTTATTTTAGCTTTGCTATCATATTGTTTCATACACTTGTGTGACTGAATTAAACCGGCTCTAGACATAAACAAACATTGGACTGGCTCAATAAAAAAAACATGCGATTCAAATTTCACTGATGTCAACTACTTTGTCTGTCCACCCCGCTTCCTCCCAGGATTCCATTAGTCGCCTCCTCCAAAAACACCTGGTCACTAAACACTCTGATCAACAAGGTCCGCTTCCATGCCCAGGTGACAAAGATTCAAGATGGCTACAAGGTAACTATCAGGTGTTCATAGATTTGTGTGAAAATGGAAATTTTAACATTTGTTTTAAAATAATTTGAGATGATCTCTCGTGTCCACCAACGAGGTTTTCATAGATGCAGATATGTTTTATAATGATTTGAGATGATCTCTTATGTCCACCAACCAGGTTGTCTTAGCGACAGATTTGTTTTATAATTCGAGATTATTTCTTGTGTCCACCAACCAGGTTGTCATAGCGGGAGATGTTTTTGAAGTCAAGGGAAATCTTTCATTTACTTCTCCCTTGATGGACCTCACACTGAATGGGGAGCAGAGGCTACTGCAGGTGAGTCAGTCATCTCTCTATGCTACTGTCAGAGGCTACTGCAGGTGAGTCAGTCATCTCTCTATCCTAGACTGTCGGATGTTGCTTCAGATGAGTCCATTATTGCTCTGATCTATCAGAAAATGGTCAACAGCTCATGAAATACATCAGCCAATGATAACTTCTCTTCATTAAATAAAGAAAGAAGATAAACATATTCATAGCTTTTTATACAAAAGAGTGAGAATAGCAGTAAACTTAAGAAGTTGCGTGGATGGTTGCTAATACTGCGAAGTGCAGAATGTTACAGAGTAGGCAGGTGCTTACCGGAACTTAGGAGTATGCTTAACCCTTTAACTGTCAAGTGCATTTTTTCTGTGGGGTCAAGCCATTTTTAGCCTTTTCAATTGCTTTACAAAAATAACAGAATCACATACTGAATGAATTCAGAGGCCCTTACAGGTGTGCATTTTCTGAAAGTACATTGGACAAGGTATTTTATTAAGGCATGAAAAGAATTTGTTTTTTTATACAAAGAGAGTAAAATTTTATAACTCAACTTATGCATTCAATCCATAATTTTTTCAATCAAAGTTTTTAAGATACTAGAAGCAATATTCTTTTAGAAAAGTTATAAAATGTAAAGTTCTATGTACTTGTATTGTAATATTGGTGAATTTTTTTTCACTTCCTTCAAATTTGTGTCATAAAAAAAAATACAAAATTAGTTCTAAAATTCTTACAACCATTTTTTTAATAATTAATACTCCAGAACATAACGCAAACGTCAGTTTCTTTGAATCACTTTAGAATAGGTATTTGGGATTCAATTTTTGTCTTTTCTCTTCGATTTTCACCCATTCCCAAATGAATATGTCTGTAACAATATAACTAAGCTTAGGGCTAAATTTGTTAATATATGACTCGTACGACATTACCGCTTAAGTTTATATTGTTATTGCTAACACGTCGCATATCTCTGTAATCATTGCTATCATTTTAATCCATTTGAAATAAATCCAATGTAGTCTTATGTTGATTTTGAAATCTAGAGTGGGACCCTCTCCAGCAACAAGCAAATAGAAATATAAATAGGGATTAAAACTATTTATATAGAGTGATTTCTCCTTAACCAGCAAACATTACATCATTAGCATTTTTAATGACTATTTTGTCAACAGCCGATTATATCAGAAAGGCATTATGACAGGCACAGGGTTTACAGCATCTTAGGCAGAAAATTGTTCAAATAGATACTACATAGTTTTCTTTGAGACGCCAATTATTTAAATTATTATTGTTGACCATTATTTCATCATTGGTTGCTTTCATCTTAAAGTTGGCTGTTTTATTAAATGATTAATTGTTCTTATTTAAATTTAATGGATGATTATTCTTATTTTATGGAGGAGTTCACTTGTTTATTTGAAGGACTTGTTCATGAATTTGTATTTCTTATTTGGCAGATCAACCAAAGACATGGAGGTGGTAAATACGATCTACGTTTCCATGGGACAGTGGTTAGTTTCAGTTATCACAGTGACTGTTGTAATATTAAATTATTTAGTCAATGCATGGTTCTACTATAATGGTGAGAAAATTCAAAGTTTGACCTCAATATATATATATATATAGACCTGGTCATTTAATGATTTTGGAATACAATTATTCGATGTCTTATACGATTTTACAACAAGACCTGTCAGAACTACGATTTAAAAAGACTGAGTTAATCAAAATATATTTCGATAATTTTTATAATAAAGTAAAATAAAAATTAAAAAAAAGAGAACATTTTAGGTTGTTAGTTTTTCCTCTTTAATGCATCCAGGGAATGAACCATGAAATATGATTGGTTGGGACCATCCATAATTTTATTATATTAGGTACACAATGAGGTGGGAAGGGGGATGGAGTTGACTTAAGATTGTTCTGGTGTGCATGGGAGGTTGTGTCTAAATATTTGTAAAGGCCATAAATTAGTGTAGTGGCCCTAGAGACAAATTTAGTCAAAATTTGTTTTTTTTTTTGCTTAGTTGCTGCATGGGGTATATTTGTGACATAATTACTTCATTCTAAGGCTGGACTGCGGCGATTGTGAAAATGGAGAAAACTATGTATTTTTTAAAAAAATGCATTCTCAACTGCTCAGCACACTTGCCCTAGATTTGTAAATTTTTAAAAATATCTGGTAACAGGCATTTGTAATCTAAATTTTAGAAGTCTCTAACCAGCTGTACAATTTTAAAACCACAGTTTGGTTGCAGCGCTCATCTTCCTTACTTCCAATAGAGCTTGTGGTAGTAATTAGTCTATAATGTTAATGGAAAATGCAATCTGGCTGCTAGACTGAATGCAGGGGTGGCCACCTGTGGTCCTTAAATATCGTGGCCCTCTGAGTTTATCTCAAATGAACTTTTTTCTTTATTCAATTAGCAATTATTTTCATTTTTTGCACAATCGCACATTTGAATTATAAATATATCACTTTTTTGTGACGCAACAAGCCATTGCAGTGTACCGGCCCTTTTTTGGACAGATTTGAAAATGGATTGAAATAATCTTAAATATGCAATGTAGTAACTGCTGATACTAAAATTAAAGGATTTTGAAAAAGTAAAATAGATGATTTTCCACAAACATTTCTTGAAGTTAATATGATGCAAAATTATATTCAGGTATACACCAAAGTGTATCATGCATTATGAATTAGCAAATTTTTTTGGGGAAGTGGGCACTGGCAAGTGATATTAATTTTTAGACATGGGATGCAAATTAAATAGTATTCTATGAAATATTATACTGTATATTTACTATTACGATAAGTATTGTACAATTTTGAGATGGTAAAGAACTATTCTGAAACAATTTTGTACTATTTTGGGAGTTTCATGTCTGTATTTAGCACCTTTGAAATGGCTTCAAGTTTTGATAATTTTGATTTTTATTTCAAAGAATTGATAAATGCAGCTAGTAAAATAAGAGTTCTTATGAATACAGAATAGTCGGTAATAGTCAGCAATAGTTTAAACTTCAATTGAATTGCCCCCCAGTATCCTGTGAAAGTGTTGGATGATCTGGCCTTTGAGTTGAGTCAGTACATGCTGGAGAAGAAAGTAGTGGACACCAGCACATTGGTCATGGCCCCTATGCCAGGCATGCTGAGAGGAGTCAATGTGGCTGCTGGCGACATGGTCAGTATGTGTACATATTTATATACACATTATGTTCATCATATCTGTCATATACTGAATGTATATATATATTAATACGCATAATATCTTCAGTACTATAGACTCAGAATTTGTCACTATTTAAAAACATACAAAAATACATACAATTCATGTAAAATATTTTTGACTAGAGTAAGTGGAATACAGTCAAGTCAATCTTGTACTTGCATTTTCTTGTAGTACTGTGATTTATTATATTGTAACAAGTGAATCTCAACATTTTATAATTGGAAATCTGTATTTATCCCTTGGTTGTAGAATGAAATTCTGTTTGTATTTAGGTGGCTGAACACCAAGAAGTCTGTGTCCTCGAAGCAATGAAGATGCAGAATAGTTTGGTCAGTGCCAAGGTTGGAAAGGTCAGTGTCCTCATCATAGCTGAGTGACAATTGACAGACAAGAAAGTTGATGCAATGTCAAGGATTTCAGTTGAATCAGTTCCCATAGGAATTGATCATAATTAATGGCCAACCAGTTATCTGATTTCATTCTTATTGCAATAGATGTTAAGCTCTTGAATAAGTCAAAGAATCAATTTGTAAGGTCCGCTGACTAGTTATCTGGGCCAATTCTTATTGCACTTGGTGTGAAGTTCTTGAATAAGTCAAAGAATCGATTTGTAAGGTCAGCTAACCAGTTATCTGAGCCGATTCTCATTGCACCAGGTGTAAGACTCTTGAATAAGTTAAATAATCAATTCGTACAGTCAATTTCAACTTACAATGTGCTCTGTTTTGTAGGTGAAGAAAGTTTACTTCAAGACAGGGGAAACTGTGAATGAAGGAGACATCATTGTGGAGTTGGAATAAAAACATGTTGTGGAGCAGATGTGGCAGTGCATTTGATATAAATAGCTGTGTGCAGTTGTGGGACAGACTGACCTTGTTAGGAAAAGGGTCTAGTAGTAGTTGCTGCCTGAAGAATGCCATCAACTCGGTAAGGAAAAACCTCAAATAGTTGAACTAAAGATGTCTGCTTGAAATATCAGGGAATATCGATTTGAAGTCTGCTTGTAATTTGTAATATCAGGGAATATCTATCTGAAGTCTGCTTGTATAACAGGTAATATCTGACATCTGCTTGTAATATCGGGTAATATCTGACATCTGCTTGTAATATCAGGGAACACCTGACGTTTGCTAGTAATATCAGGGAACTGACATGAGCTCAGATTATGACTGAATAATTAGCTTCTGAAATTTGTCTAATTTGCTTAAGCAGGGCAACATATAAATGTAGACATACAATTTCTATTTATTTTTGTTTCAAACTTTTGTCAATGGTCACAAAATGGTAATTTATCCCAGTTAAAGAGGCTGTTAATTTTTTATTTTACTATTTTGCTTTGAAGAAAAAACTTTAAAAAAATTTCAGTTTGTTATTGTATAAAAAAAATTCATGATGGAATTTTCGTGTATATTTTAAGTTTAAAAAAAATCTGTCCAAGTAAAAATAAGGATGGGTTTTTCTAACCAATTAGAACTGTAGTTTCTATCAGACTACTTTATGGTGTTCAGGGTAGTGAGTAATTCATGCCTGCTTACCATCATCCTTATTTCGGATCATTAGCCTTTTCACAAAATGCATATTTACTTTTAAATAGAGGGGAAAAGTAGGAAATATGTACACAAAATTTGTTGACAACCGGCTCCACACTGAATATCTTCATGTGTTGTTGAGCTGGCTCCACACTGAATATGTACACATGTTGTTGAACTGGTAAGAAGTTTTTTTTTTTTAATGGAAAGCCTTTAATGTATCAAAATAATTTGTATGACAAATTCTTCATGTATTTTGATGAATGTTTTGAGATCTAAAAGGCTTGCACTGTTGGGGTGGTTGTTAATTGCTCTATTACCCGGTACTAAATATAAATAACCATTTTGAGCGTACTGTTGTATATATAATATAGAAAACACATACATATCTTTGGGTAATAAATATACATTTTGAAATTCTTTAAATTAAATTAACGGTTGCCATAAATGAGGTAAAAGATATTACCGACAAAGAGATTTGTAATTTAATATTTTACTGTAGATTTATTTAATGAATGAAATATTAATGTTAGTGAGATATGTAATTGTAATTTGATAAAATTGTTGAAGTGTGATTTGTCTTTGTAATGTAATAAAATTGTTGATTTGCTTACTTGTATTCAAGAAAATGAAAATAAAAGTTTCATTAAAACTACAGTATTTTTAAAGTTTTCTTTGTGTAGCCAAGTTTTGAGTTGGTTGTGATTAGTGCAGATGTGATAGCCACACTGTTGTCTACTAGAAGTTTGCTGAGCCACAATGTTGTCTACCAGAAGTTTGCTGAGCCACAATGTTGTCCACCAGAAGTTTGCTGAGCCACAATGTTGTCTACCAGAAGTTTGCTTTTAACAGTGGTAGGAAAAAAAAAGTTGAACAGATGCTGTTTTAAAAATAAAATTTCAGGGGCAGCTGAGTAGACCACTAATAATTAAAAGAAATACGTGCCTCCTATGAGGACCTGCCTGATCAAAGGTTGAGGTCCTCCCCTGGACTAACCAAAAAATGTCTTTCCTGTCTGGCCACAGAAGATGCAACAGAGTTCAAACTGGAATTTGTGACTATGAAACCCACTTCTCATCGGAATATAGTCTTAAAATATCATTCTAATCTGTGCAGGCCAATTAATACTCCTTAGAGGTGAAATAGAAAACCCAAATTATGAAGAGCTTCGATTGTTATGAGATCCACACTTGATCAAGCTACCAATAGAAAATCGCAAGTATAAAAAAAATGTCAATTTAAATCAGTGTTTCCCAACCTTTTTCATATCCCACATCTCCTACCAATTATTAGACTACTCTTGCTCACACTATAAATTATTTTTTTTAAGTCTCGCACCCCCCTTTCCGAATTACTACATTTTAAACAGTGAAAATAATGGACTTCTAATAAGTTTATTGAATTGCAAAGAGAATAGTAGAATTTAGAAAATAAAATTGTGACAAGTAGAAAGGCTTTTGAGGTGATTGCTAGAAAAATGGTTGAAATAATTTTAGGTACTGATGCTTCCGATTCTTAGTGAATATCTTAGTGAGTTAGCCCCTCCCATTTCTTAGTGGATGTCTTGGCCCCTCCCAATCTGAATTGGATATCTTAACATGTTTATGTTTGCTTGAGCGAGAATTCCCCAACAAGTGGAGAGATTTGGTACTTGTTTAGATAACAGTATTACTCCTTATTTAAACAGTCTGCATTAAAAAAAATCGATATCAGGAAAAGCTTGACACATATACTATATGACATAGGTTATAAAAAAAACAACAAACACAATTTTAAATTAGGGAGTTTTATTGCACGAATCAAAACTGGGAATACGATTATTTTTTAAGACAGATCTAAAACTTTCGTAAATATAATGTAAGGTTTTCTTAAGTACTTATGCCATATCAAGTTTGTTATTTGCTATTCACTTCTAACAGAACATTAGTGCTCCACAGATTTTTTTCCCTTCTTATCAGTTTGAGAGCCTACCCAGTTTTCAACTCAGTGTGCTCATTAAGTTAAACAGTCTTTACCAAAGAAGATCCAGAATTAGTTAATTAGCACAAGAAACATTTTTTGTAGTCTTTGTGTGTTTCACTTTGGAATGTGTTGTGCCAAGCAAAAACTGATAAACCAGCTGAACAATTTCGACTCATCGGTGTTTAGGGAAAGTGGTCTATGCAAGCTTTATCTAGAGATTCTGTTTCTATTATTTAAAATCATTATTAGTTCTATAGTTACAGGGGGGAGAAAATTAATACTTTCCGTCAAATGCACAAAACTTGGGGGGATTTTCTACAGAATTAATACAACATAGTTCCAGTATTCAATAGTCACGGCATTGACAAAACAATAGCGAAAAATTTGAAAACGCATGAAAATAACAAAGAAGCAGGTAGATCTAATAGTGATTAGCAAGATAAAAGTTTGGTACATAGAAAAAGAATTTGTTTTAAAAAGCGGAAATTGAAAGAACTGTAAGAAAAGTAAATACACATTTTGAGATTTGATTCACTGAGAATGGCCAGTTTGATTAGAATTTTTTTTAAACGGTCATAAAATATCACACAACATTGTCCAACAGATTTAAGACATGAAAAAGAAAAGTGTAACACATTGAAGGATAAAATAAATCAGTCAAAGATAAAAACTTCAACATCATTATTAATACCTCCCTTCCAATTTTCTTCAAAAACCAATTGTTCCACAGTTACTGGATATTTTTAAAGCTTCAATATGAACTAAAAATTATTTTTAGCAAATAGAATATCAACTCCAATCAACATAAAATCTTAACGAACATATCAAATGTAAAAAAAAATTGTTTTTTAAAATCACAGCCACTTTTAAAACTAGCCCTGGTTTCATTTGACATTCAGGGAGAACACTGTCCTGCCACCAGGTGGCACTCTAACCTCACTTCAAGTTGCTAACATAATGTTTGACAAATATCTGACTAGAAATACAGACTGTAGGAATGTGATCACTTGAATGTTTATTAAATATATTGGATTGTAAATAAGAGCCAATTCTTTTAAGAAAAACAATTTTTAAAAAGAATTGTTACATAATTGTACAATGCACCACATCACATAGTTTACTCAATGCCGGGTATATAAAGGAAATTCTCAGGTCTGTACCAAACTACATAGCATAACAAATTCCACCATTAAAATGTGGAGGATAACAAAAGTAAAATTTTTGACTAGTTCAACATTGGCCTTGTTAAGTATAAACCAATCAAAATCATTCTATAAAACAAAATAATTAAGTAGATTCACTTAAGTGTGAGACTTGTAGACAAGTTGAAACTCAAATAAGTTACAGTTGCAATGTTTAAGGACGATTCACTCAAATGGTTCCAATCAACCATTTTAAGTAGAGTCCCTATATAAATTAAAAAATTAACAATTGTTAAGTACCGGGTATGTTCAGTCAAATAGTTAAAATAAGAGTTGATACCCTGTAGTTTCATACCTTTTATCCAAACCGTCTTAAATAGAAGTAATCCATAAACACATTTTTTAAAACATATTTTAAGTAAAACTATTAACCCCTATGAAGTTATTTTTTTAAAGCTTTGTACAGAAAAAAGTCTTAGAAGTTATGGCAGTGAACTCAAAGGGTTAATTGTAGATTTAAATTCTCAACAGGAAGTATTTGAGCATTAATAAAAAAAAAATATCTGAAGGTGAGATTATGAAACAATACCTAACCTTAAAGGAGAATGAGAGAGCTACATTGTGATCTGGAAACACAAGTTTTTAATTTCAAATAATTTTTCATTTCTTGTTTTGTATTGTCTGATGAAAGAAGGCATTTAGCTGAAACGTCCTTTTATTGGTTTCATTTTTTTTTAAAAGCCTGAACATATTTTGTTGCTCTTTTTATTTACTTCATACGTCTTTAATGGAGAGCCCCCCACCCCCCCCCACCCATATTACCATAAAGAAAGCCATATTGGTCAGAATAAGTCAAAGTAAGGAATATGACATTGAAAGTGTTAATTACTGGGGGAAAATACACCAATTTAAAATTGTATGAAAACCAGAGGTTGGGATAGACTGACAAAAACTGACTGATTTTTTAAAGGGAGAGAAAGAAAGGGGTGGGAGCAAGCAATGAAAGGCTGACAGATTGGTGGAAGCAAGGGGGAACAAATGGGGGTTGGGGGAAGTAACACAGATGACATTAATTTGACTAAGAGTAAAATATGACAAGTTGTCAAAAAATTTCATTTGGAAGTCCATTAGGCATGAAATATTCCAGACAGGATAGTGTTAGGTGGGACCAGTAAGGGGGAAGTAACACAGATGACATTAATTTGACTAAGAGTAAAATATGACAAGTTGTCAAAAAATTTCATTTGGAAGTCCATTAGGCATGAAATATTCCAGACAGGATAGTGTTAGGTGGGACCAGTAAATCAACTGCACTCAGCCATTCATTTTGAGTATTTGTTAAGCTACACTGACCAGAGCGGACAAAACTAGTAGATAACAGAGTACCTAGCCATTTGAGTATTTGTTAAGCTTCATGGACTAGGACACAGTCAACAAAATTAAAAACATATATAATTTTGATGTTCACATGGACATTTGATGACATAGTTGTGTACAATGTCAGTAACAGAATTAGCAAGAATTTAAAAATAGTAGACAATCACATTAAGCAGCCCAGCACATATCACATGAAATCTGAAACAAATCTAAAAGAAATGTTTGCCTCTCAAGACTTTTTACTTTGATAAACTGTGTCTGATTTTGAATCTGATCTACTTGAGCTTGACAGAGCAGCCAAATTAATTTTCCAGTTGTGTATTTTGGCTTTTTGTATCAAGTACAAGATATTTCTCTTGTTTGATCACTTACGTTGTTTGATTGAAAGTATTGGTGCAAAAAAAAAAATGTGCTATTTATGGAAACAATTGTGACCAATGAAAACACACCAAGAATAAAGGCATAACAAAATCCTATCTAGACAAAGAATTGAAAATTTAAAAAAAGAAGTCTGAAGCAGAAGTTAACATCCGGAAGAGGCAAAGTGGAGAAATTTTTAAAAAATCATGAATTATTTGGTTCCAGAAATCTTCAACAATTTTGTAAACAGATAATTCATCTAATTTTTTTTTTTTTTTAAACAAGGTGAAACTGACAAGAAATGAATCTTGTTATTCTGGAAACAATTTATCGATCATGACATTACTCTTATTTTAAACTGACCCTGCCATGTTAACAAAACTGGCTGGTCGAATGTAATCCTGAAAAATTTGGAAAAAATTCAGAAACTGTTTTTTATATTTTATATTACACAGTAAAAAATATTTTTATTAAGTATTTTTAACCTCATTAAGAATTGTTCAAGATTTTTAACATACAACAGCATAAATTTGATGGTTTCATTGCACCACTGTTGCCCTGCAGTCAAGTCAGGATGCCCACTAAGCGACCTGCTCATACTTGGCCCGGCTGATCGACTTGGCCAAACAAAATGCAAGAACTGCTCCCAGGACCTGCAAACAAAATTATTTCTAGTTATATTTCAGTACAGCATTTTCATTTACCTTTACAAAATTGTGTTTTTCAAAATAAAATTAGGTATGTATCATCGAACAACAAATACATAAATAAATGATCATCCGCATAT